GAGCTCGAGGGAGTTGAAGAGATTGCGGGCGTTTACACGCGCGCAGGCGGGCGCCAGCTCTTTCACCATTATTCCTATTTGTTATCATTAGCATTATTTTTATATTACCATTTTTATTCCCATTATTGTTTTTGATATTCGTATTATTGTTATTCCTATGATTAATGTCCTGCATCAGCCCGGAGAGGCTTCTCCATCTACGAAGCCAATGAGAATCAAACAGCCACTTGATCGGGTTGGGGTGGGCCTGGGACTTGGGTTCCCTTGTCTTGGGTTCCTTTGTTTTATCAACACCCACGGCCCACGGGTTTGCAATTCTATCGCAATAGGTGTCCCGAGAGTTCGACCCATAATCTGAGGGAAGGTCCCGGAAGCTGCTAGGCCATCACAAATCAGAGCATCAACAGCTTCACATCGCTTTTGTGGCGTGCTTGGTGATGGACCATGAAAAGCGTGACAAGTATCCATAGAAAGAGAGAGATATGGTAAAACAAGGAAACAGATGTGGTCATACGTCGCCAAAATTTTTGAAAAGTAGGACTCATCAGGATACAGGAGCGGGAAGAGAAACCAGACCAATGTATTCCAAAAGACCGAGTGCAATGGCTCTAGCTTGCAATGTCGAGCGCAATCATTGTGCCGCAGGCTTTGCTGCTGGGCCACACCTACGGAGTGGCCTACTATAATGCAGAACTGGGATACAGGCGCCCAGTGGTGAGCATGTGCGGCCCGGAGCAGTGCATCAGCCCATGTCCGAATCAATGCGCCAGGTTGTTTTATAGCGGCGGAACCAAATGGATGGTGGTCCTGGAGTATCCCGGTCGTCAGGACACGCCTGTGTGCTTGTTACCTGCATCGCTGGGGTGCATACAATCAGTGCTGGCAGGAGCTCTACACCACCTTGGCTGACCCCTTTCTGCACATGCTACTGTGGGAGTTTGAAATGTAACGCCATGTGTCCCCGATTGAGGGGTCATGTAAAGTTAGAGGCTGGCCAGCAGAGCTGGATTCGCTCTTTGCCCAAGGAGCTGGAGACAAAGGTGTCAGACATGGAGCACTTGGGCATGCAACCGCCGCAGCGATGGAAGATCTTCAAGAATGCTGCTGTGATGCGTTTGACGGTATGTTTGCCACCATAGCTCAAAATTGGCTGGAATGGGAAACTCTTCAAGCTAAGGGCAGGCACAAAAAGACCAGAGCAGTCTCCATCAAAGTCAAGGACCCGCTGACCAGCTGTCAGCGGCCTAGATTCTACCTAGATCCGATCTCTGCATCCTTCCGTCCGTTGCCGAGTAGACGTGGGAATTCCTCTCAATCACGGCCAGCGCTTTTACCACTCCAAAGAAAGTAGTCCTAGTACCCGCGCAATAAAAGGCCATTGTCTGGAGACTTCCCCTTTGGAAGCTTTAATATGGTCTGATGCTGAGGTGGCCTGCCCACACGAAAGGAGGCAGCGGCTGATCCTATTCGGGTTCAGGGTACGGCTGATGGTTTCCAAAGATGCCATACACTTCATTTTTTTCTTCCTAGCATAGGGCTTTGAGGCTGAGCGGCAGCGTGCTGAGCTTGACCTTCAGCCAGGCCTACTCAAAGGCTGCCAAAAACATGGGCCTGGGTCTGAACTTCGCTTGCAAGGCCGAGGAGCCTGGAGGGTATGGTAGTGTGGCTGCCATCTGCTGCTGTGTCCCATGGGGATGCCATTTAGGGGTTCGTTTGTTTGTTGAGGACTTTTTCCTTTCAGGGGGCGTGTGGGGACCCTAACCGTGACCATCGCACTAAGTGCATGCTTAGTAGATGCGATGCAGTTCGCCATGGTCTTATTTTCAAAGCCCTCGCCCCATACGTGCTACGTGCATCGGCCGGTGCATACCCTACAGCAGTGGGAGATGCGACCATTGCAAAGTATAGGAAGTGTCAGATCTAGGGGTTGGGAGAAGTGTCACGCGAGGACACCGTCCTGATGCCTGAGGCGCCGCTGGCGCAGGCTCGTTTGCTTTGTCTCCTTTAGGGCCATTGCTGCAATGCCTAGCCTGGTGGTCTTGTAGGGGTTTCTGAACTTTCCAGGGGAGGTTGCTTTTGAAGTTCAGAGGTAAAAGGTTGAAGGACAGGCAGAGTCGGCAAGGCAAGCCTTTATCGAAATGAATTGCTCGAGAGTGTTCGGGTGAAAGCAGGTCGAGGACATCACGAAGTGGAAGGACAACAGCAAGAGGCAACTAGGCCATCCGCATAGCTGTCTCTCAAAAGACATCCAAATCCGGAGGGTATGGATGCGGAAACATTTGAAGCAGTGAGTAGCGTTATGATAGCTTGAGGCAAAGCACAGAGCAATTAACAGAGCACAGAGGCTGCATTAGCCGGACGGAGGAGGAGACCTTCATCTGGTGGGGTGTCTAGCCTGCATTCACTCAGGGCAGAGAACCCACTCGAATCGATCAATATCAGACCTCGTTCGCTGCTGGGTCAGAGGTTTCACTCTACGTGTTGCGTTCTTTTGCCGTGAGCTCTGAGCTTGCGAAGCTGTCGCATGCTGTTCAACTGAGGCCTGCACGATCCCCTGAAGCTCCGGATTCAGCAGGAGGACGGTAAACGCTCCCTGGTATCAAGAATCTTGTGCGCCTCCTTGATGGCTGCATCTGAACGGCTCCATGTGAGTTCCAAGGCTTGGTGGATCTCAAGGACAAAAACGATCGGAAGTTCAATCTTGACGCAGATCCAGAGGCGTCCGCGCTGGCAAAGGTGGCAGCCTGGGTCTCGGACGTTTTCGATCCGGACAGCAGAGCCGAGATGGCCAAGCTGAGCGAACCCAAGAGGAGCCGCGTGCAGTGTGCAGGAATCGCATCTTTTGACATTAGATCTCTCCAGTGTGTCTTGGTCAGGAACATGCTCCTCAGTTCGGCCAGCCTCCTAGAGTGGAATGCAGGTCACGGAGATTTTTCGTTCTTTTGTCGGTATGCTGCGAGGCGCAGTCTCAGCTTGCCCTGGCGGCTTCATTGTACGACTCGGACCTCTTGCTCGCAGCAGTACTAGGCCACGGGCAAGCCGGACGCCTGCAGCTAGTCCACGCAGCAGTCTCGAGGCATTGCCGCGAAGAGCTCGGTGGGATTGGTGACACCAGATGTGCCAAACGAGTACGTGCTCCTGGCCCGGTGTATTGTGGCCGCGAGCCAAGCACAAGTGAGTGTTGCTTATTTCCGAGCTTTGTCAGTGCGGCTGTCATGTTACACAAGGTCTTCCATGGCATGCTCGGCGACGTTGTGAAGGAGAACTTCATGCGACTGCTGGTCTCCGGTCAGCAGGCCAGGCATCTGCTGCCGACTATCATCAGAAGGCAATGGTTATTAGAACAGGTACTGCAATAATCAGCGATATGCGTCGGAAGAGCGGTGGGCTCCAACAAAAAACTGCCATAGCAACGTGACCAGCCATGGCCATACATATCCCTAAAGCCTTCTTTGGGGGACCCCCACATGTTACAACAGCACCTTCTACCTCAAAGCCGTAAGTCGCAGGACTACCTCCAGTGGCTTCTTCGGCCGAGCGGCGATCGCTTCTTTAACTCCTGGAGAAGACCTGCCCTGGAGACATGGCACGAAGCAGCCTTAATGAAGGAATGGGGGTACTGTTCTAGGGGGATTCTTACATACTGATTCATCATTAGAGCCATTATGAACTCCAGAGTTTTGGGGGGGTGTTTAAATGTGGTCGAGGGATGGCGGCCTAGGGCTTTGGAGATCTAGGAATCTAGGATTTAGAGTTGGGAGGGTGTAGGGGTTTAGAGGTTTAGGTCTAAGGTTTGCAGCTGGGGGGTTATGCTCAGGGTTTTGGGGCTTAGGGGTTCGGAGGTTGGCGCATCTGCGCAGATTTTTGTGTTGAGGAGGAGGGCAGTGCCAACCATCAGATGCTTATCCCCAAATGACCCCCTAAGAGAAATCAACAAGACACCTGTTTGGGGGCTTCCATAAACTCATAAACACGGAGCGCCTAATGTAGATCTCAAAATACTGTAATCGTGGGACCCTCAAAAGGGATTTTTGGTGCACTATGCCTATGTACCCTATGAACCGCTGATCCCATTTCCTTCTAATCATCCATTGCATTATTGGGGTAAAATCCCTGGATAACCGTACATCTTCCTTCCTGTGAGAGAGCAGCCCAGGAGAACATCCCTGCAAATCCTCTATGCCAAGCCCTAAACTCTAAACCCTCAACAACTATATAGCATCCCTGTATCCCAGGAGTACCTGAACAGCCGCCGGGACACCTGCAGCAGCCAGGCTCAGACTTCCCAAAAATGCTAAACCCCTACATGTTTAAGCCTCTTGTATATACATGGATATAGCCAAATACATGTGTTTATACTTGTATACAAACATATAATTGTATATGTCTTGCTATGCATACATGCATATACGTAGGACACTTTCCTCTTACATGTTCGTGCCTTGCCGACAGGGCTGGGACCTGAAGAAGATCTGATGCCCACAAGGTTTCTCTTGCTCTCGTTAAAGCTTTGATTAGATGGCCTCTCCTGCCCCCTCCGACCTTGGGGCCTTGGGGGCAGCAGGGCCAAGGCCTAGTTCTAGCTCGTTCTAGCTTGCACCACTCCACTCCTTGAGCCAGGGCAGGAATAGCACTGCCTTCGGCTGAGGCCTGCGAGCCTCCAATAAAGCGCCGCAGAACATTCACGGACCTCTTTCTAAGAACGCAAGGGGCTCGCAGGAATTGGTTTTATTCAGTGGCCGAGAAGAAGCTTGACATTGCCCGGAAAAAGAGTCTGGCTAAGCCTGCTGTTGATGCTGAGCATTTCTCATCAACAACAGAAAGCGTTTGAAATAATCTGTGTCCGTTCTGAGTTCTGGACCAGGAAAATTTGGGGTGGCCAAAAAAGGTGACTTATCAGGTCAAGAAGTCACTGATGGAAAAGCTTGTCTGCAAACCCTGCCAGCCCATCCGAGACGAACACTCCAGTCTTGTCAGTCCACTTCCGCGTCTCGTTACAGGACCTCGAGACCGCAGAGAAGAGCATTGAGAGCTCGAAGAAGGAAGTCAAGACCCTCGGCTTGAGAAAATCGATATATAGGGATAATGGAAAAGAAAATGGAAACTACTGTAGGCACAATGGGCATACATAGGGACAATGGAAATAACATGTGTCGGAGTGTCTCAAAATCACATGTGTAGAGTTCCTAGGAGCCATGAACTCGACATCAATAACACGTGCAAATATGAGCTATAATCTAAATTCCGTAAACGGGGGTTATATAGGAATCGTATAGGGGAGTATTATAAGGGTTATTAAGGGGGATACTCGGTTTTTGGATTATCGCTCATTAGTTCGAAAGCTACACCTCTAGAATTCTCACTCAAACACCCCATAATCCTGTTGTAATCCCATGTATCCTCAGGGTCTGCAAGAAGCCTCAATCTTGAGCAACGCTACAGCCCTGAAACCTGACCTCCCTAATCCCTGGCACTCAATACCCCGTAAATCCTCATCTGGTGTACAGTTACATCGCAGCTTCTCAAAACCGGGGGATTCCACCCCAGTTTCCATTTCGTGTTCCATTATCTTTTATGTGTGCAAGCCTGTAACCCTAAAAAGCCTTGAGGACAGAGCTCCAGTCACTGCGCTCCAACGCAGGGGCCTGATGCGGCTGTTGATTTACTGGTGCATATGGCGAAGGGCATAGGCATCAGACAAGAAATGAGAAGGCATCAACAAATAATTTGGCAAGCATCAAAAAAATGACAAGCATCAAAACATAATTTGAGCCGCAAGCCACTGGCTTCTTGGCTTTTCGACTTTCCTGGCTTTTGGGACTGTTCTGCATGACATACAAGCCCCTGGCTTCGTGTCTCTTGTTCTTATGTGTTTTGCTACTGTTATTCTTGTCCATTTTCGTATTACGACTATTACTATTCCCCCTTGTCTCTCTTCTTGCCAATTTACAGTCTTATGGCCTTCAATCTTTTCTTGATGCTTATCATTTTTTTTGATGGCGGGCACAAACATTCAACGTTTTTCTTGATTTTTGGGCCATTTTTTTGGATGCTTAGCATTTTTGGATGCGTCACCCTATGGGGAGTGGATGGATCCCAACACAAGCCCTCGAGTACTATTGCTATACGGACCTCCAACATGGTACCCTATAACCCTTCCAGAGTCCCTTATAACCCTATATCAACTCCCCCACTCCGGCCTCGGCAAGTTTAGGGTTTACCCCTAAGGACTTGAGGGACAAGGAAGCCCCCTAAGATATGGCAGGGTTTGTTATTCAGATACTACGCAGTAGGCTTTAGCTTGTTTGGATTCAGCGCAAAGTTTATAGGCTTACATTGCGGTTGTATAGGGATGTTGTGGGAGGTTTATGTACAAGGCTATGAGAAACATGCATGCTGGGAAATAATTTGGATAACTCTTTGTCATTACCGTTGTCAGTGGATCTGATCCTGCCGGGATGGTGACAGAGGCGCGACCCAAGCTGGAGAAGACTGTGAATGAGACTAAGAAGAAGGCATCCATCTGCACGCTCCGTAATGTTGGAGTTTTCCAGATTTGCCTTGTGCCAAGATGCCAGAAGTACAGTGGCTGTTTGAAATCGCCCATTTCTTGTGCTAAGATTGCCGTCTCGTGTCTAAGCCTTGGCCCTTGATGCAGTGCTTGTACCTGTGGTGCTCAAGCCGTGCGCAGAGCATTGCAGAAAACATTGAAGAACCGGTCTTCACCGGTACCAGTAGAGAAAGTCGAAACGGAAAGCCGCACAGCAATATTAGCCGGTGCCACCTTGTGGTATTATGCCTACGATGGGTTCTCTGTAGCTTCTACAGCTCGATTCGCAATGGTCCTCCGCTTTGATGGCAAGGTGCCATCCAGACTGGGCTGTCTCTGTTTCGCTGTTTAAAATGGAGGCTTGCTTTTGAGAAGCAATGCGCTGCTGCTGCAAGGTTGCCATTGTCACAGGCGCTGGAAATGGTTTGGGCAAGGACCGCTCCTCATTACCCTAGCAAAACAAAGTATTGCTGCAACGTTTTGCTGCGCAGCAATCAGTAGCAATCATGAAGAGACACAGCTGACAGCCAGCAGCAGGAATATGCCCTTCTTCTTGCGGCAAGGGGAGCGAAGGCCAATTTTTTCCCTACTTTCATTTGCCCCCTCATTTGCATGCGGTTATGTTTAGTCACGAAAGCTCCCCAGAAGGGAGCTTCGTTTCATAAGTCACAACGTGAGCCTGTGGTTCTATGGGAGGGGTTGCTGGGGAGGGGGGTGGGTGGGGAATTTTGCCTGGATTTTTGAGCGGCACTAGTGGCTGGATTTTCCAGCGTTGGCTCGGAGATCTTGGAGTGATCTTGGGGGCATCTTGGGGAGGGATCTTCGAGGGTCTTTTTTAGGAAGATTTCGGTAGGAGGGTTGCAGTTGTTCTCGTGGGCAGTGAGGGCTGGCCTGCGCGCTCTTCTGGTTATACATCGTCTGTCTCTTCACGTCCTGTGTCACCACTCCTGTCCATAATTGAGCTCTCGTCCCGGTCTGTGGCTCTCAAGTATAATGATTCTTACGTTTTCATGGACGAACGAAAGGTATCACAAGTAGGCTTCCGATATAAAGCCCAACAACTGCCTGATGATGACGACTGGCATGTGTTGACATTATTAGGTTGTTCAGGATGCATGTCCCGACGTTGCCGTGGTGTGGGTTCGCTGTTTGGTTGGGATCCCCTCTGAAAAAGCGTATTCCCAATCGTCTCTTCTTTACACGGACCTTTAGAACAAGAGCCTATTATAATAAGATCCCCATATACCCCATGTTCTAGGTACTTAAGGGGGACTATTCCACAGGTGGTGGTAAATGACCTCGGGGGCAACACCACTGGCAGTGGCAGCTCAAGCTCTGCTGCAGCCGGGGCCCTGGCCTTCAAAAGTGCTGCGAAGCACGCGTGGAAGAGAGTTTCCCAGAAGGGAGTACTGCAAGCATTTAGGCTCGCCGGATTGCTTGGCACCAAGAGAGCAACCGTGCTAGTCTTTGGGTGCAAAAAAAGTGCTTACACACATTCAAAGAAGGGAATCCCATGAAGGCCCCTTTAGAAAGCATGAAAAACGTTGGCAAAAGGTAAGCAAGAAGGTGAACAAAGGTTTAAACATTTGAAAAAAGTGGTTTCCCAGCGGTGCTTCTTGGGAACTTCAGTGGCGCTTGGGTCCCAAGCCCCTGTGACCCCAAAGCCCTTGTAAGCCTCCAAACTCCCGAGCCTTCGCGGGGTCTGGGGGGCCTGGCAGGTCTGCCTGCAGCGGGCGATGAGACCATAAACTGAGAGAAAGGAGAGTTCATGACCTTTTTTTTTTTTTGCAACTGTAGGAAATGTTAAGGAATCTGTAATGCGCGTTTGAGTATCTAGACCATCGTGATTTTTGTTGCAGAACTAAATCTGACCTTCTGGCCTACTGAAGGCATACTGCTTGCAGATTGAGAGGAGAAAGCCTTCTTCTTAACCTCTGACGCAGGACACTTTGCGTTCTCATTATGCAGATCATGACTTCGGTACCTTTGTTCACCTTTTGCTCACGGTTGACTTGTTTTTTTTCCTTTCTGGAATCGTGGGGGTTTACCTCTTTTCTACTTTTTCACCTTTTTTAGATCCAAACTCCAATGTTTCCATGGCAAAAATAACTCCAACCCTAGAGGTCCTTTGGCAAGAGCATGAACCAACAAACAAGACGCAGAAAAGGAGATATGTTTAAACAAAATCAGACCAGCATCGGCAACGATAATGAAGCGCAAAACGCGTGACTGGCACTGTAAGGAACACTCAAAACCACACGAAGGTCACGAAAGCTCACAAGGTTGACCAAAACATGAAAAATCCCTAGACAAAAAGCACTAAGGAACAAACAAAACGCTGAAGCCATACAGATATGTTTACAACAACGTTTAAAACCAACATAATTAAACGCTAAGAATAAAGCCCGAAACATGTAACTGGAAGGGTTAAGGAACACTCAGACCCGCTCGCGTCCTGTGGTGTTCCATTTTTTGGCTTTATTTGCCGCTCCTTGAAACACGTCTATATGGGTTTCTTAGATAATGCGCTCTCGGCATCAGCATGAGCTATCTCGAGTTTTTTCACCCATCTGGTGCAAACATTCAATCATACCACGGGTCCAGTCTTCTTCCGTCTTGGCGTTAGTCAGCACTACATGCATGAACTTGTCAACAATTTTATCACGATCATCCCAGCAGAAAACTGCAGATTCTAATGTCGGCAAGTTGGAATAAGTCCATGTCGTGTTATTCACGTGCCACATGCGTTGCAGTCACTTAGTTCTGCTCCACAAGTCTTGTTTTCTGCGTTACATTCTTTTCTCAAGCTTATTAACGTCATCACTAGCTGTTCCTTTATTTCTCTCTTTTCTTTTCACGTCCGACTATTGCTCCCACATCCTGCGCGATCGTAATGTACAGTGCTAATATTCGTCCCCCCTATACATCCCTGTATATCCCTACCTAATCCCTATATTCCCTAGTTGCTCCCTATATGAGCATCGTACGCGCTGTTGTCCAGCCCAGGATACAGTAGTGGCGGAAATCCAGCAGGCGGGCGGAGAGGTGCGCTCTTGTTGGTTGTTATTTGGAATTATTAGCGCCATTAGTGTATAACCAGTGCCTCTCGGAGGCAGCAGCCAGCTACGACTCCGTGGTAGATGGCGACAAGATTGTTCAGGCAGCTATTGAGAGGCGCGCCTGGCATACGATTTTGAAAAAGAGCCCCCCAAGGAATGGGTTGGAAACATCATGTGGTTGTACTGGTCCAGGTATGGCCGAGTAGATATCCTGATCAACAACGCCGGGATTTTGCGGGATGTGTCCTTCAAGAGGATGTCCGAGAAGGCCGGAGAACCCAGAACCCCTCACAGCTCTTACGCCCTGACTTCCAGATGCTTGATTCTGCAGTGCTGGCAGGACTGGGACATGGTGTACCAGGCGTTGGGTCATTGCGATGTGGGGCTATGGTGTACCTTGTTTTTCATTGCAGCGGAGACTTCTGATCACTGTACATTGTGATGGGTTTGTATGGAGGGTTGTGTTGTTTAACAATGCTCCCAGCTGGGGGATTACCCTAAATGCTGGATCGTTCGGGTCTTCACAACCTACCATATGGAGCTAGCTCTCGTTGCAAGAAGGTCTGAACTTTCTTCTGGCTTTCCATGTCGCAGGTTCACCTCAAAGGCGTCTTCAAGGTGACTCGCGCGGCATGGACTCACATGGTGCGCCTGTGCTTTGTCAACGACTGTAGATCTAACAGACCGCATATGATGCTCGCAAGAAGGATTCCTAGATATCCTGGTACAGCAGTGACACAGGGCAGCCTCAAGCGCAAAGGGAGGAAGTGTATGTTGATGTGTTTTCTGGGTCCCTGCCAAAGCAGAGCCCATTCTGTCCTTGACATGCATGTCCAGGAGAAGAATGGGTATGGCCGCATCGTGAATGTTTCAAGTCCTGTCGGGCTGTATGGCAACTATGGTGCGCGCCCGACAGAGGTTTCCTCAAACACTTTGCTTCATTTTTCAGTGGGATACAGCCCTCATGATAGTTCGACCACCGGGATGTTAAAAGGTTGAGCAAGAACAAAAGTACCCTTTATGCACCAACATGAGGTCAAGCCAACTACACAGCCATGAAGAGGCATCTGCTTGCTGCAGAACCATGCTTCTTGCAAGATGATGTCATGCCTGGTCCCATGGTGATAGGGCCGTTGTGGGATTCACCCTGTCGCTTGCTGCCGAAGGCTCGCCCGGTTGCTGCAGCCCCCGAGCTTGTTAGCAGAAAGAGCACCCAGGAGCCAAGAAACAGATCAAAGTGAACGTGGTTGCGCCTTATGCTGCGTCCAGGATGTCGCAACTTGGCTTGCCATTTGTCAGCCTCCAACAGAGCATCTGATCTAGTGCTGAAGGCAGACGGTCATGTCAACCGAGATGCTCCAGGCCGGGTGATTTCCAGGGGTTGTTTGTCTTGGTTTCATGTCAGCCTCTGCTGAGGCATTGCCTGCCTCATCGGTGGCTAAATTCATAGTCTTTCTGTGGCTCGGCTGGAGCAACAGGGATTCTTCGCAAGAGTTTCCGTGAAGTGACCTATCGCTGGCAGGTGCCACGAGGAGTGCCCCGAGTCAGGCTCTCTTTATGAGCTCGGTGGCAACTGGATCTCCAAGGTGCGACCAGATTCCTTTTCAAGCAGCCATTTGCTTCTTGCTAGTATGGGATTACGGAATACGGACTGGTTCATTGGGGTGATCATCAGGCGTATGAAGAGGATTAAATAGGAGCTGTTCTTGCTATCCTTGTGTGAGAACTGGAATGCTTTGACGCACCTGACGAAGGTCAGGCTTCAGCGGTCGAAAGGTGTTCAGCTCAAGGATGACTTCGCCATGGAGGCAAGACAGTATCGCGAGCGTGCACATACAGGTGGTACGGATGATCACGGTTTTCACGTAGGACTGAAATTGAGATGGCATCTTACCGCCAGTGGCCTTGAGGATATTGCGCAGAACTTTGCACAGATCGGCGACTTCACTGCAGGCAACACATGCATTGCTGCTTGTGGGAGAGTAGACATGGGTGGCCAGAGTCATGTCAAGCTTTTTGCAGCTTGAGATGCCGAGCCTGACGGGCCGTGCCGAGACAGGCTCCGAATTTCCAACAGACGGCTTCTCCGGGATGCAGCATGCGATGGCTACCTGCTCAGCCTATCTTGGGCAAGGGCATTCCTTGTCAAATCCTCAAAGCTGTTTATTAGACAGCTCCAGGAATGCAGCCTCGGTGCTGCTCGCAAAGCCATTAAAGCGCAGCAGCATCAGACAGAGCATCGTGCGTGGGACGCGTGCGATGGGCAATGTGCATAGCGATGTGTCGTGTTTGCCAAGGCTGCGAAGCGGAAGACGAAGTCTGAAGAAGGAGATCCCACTTCCAAGCTTTGAAAAGCTTCTCACGTTGCAGCCGAACCCTCAAAGTATAATGAGCCGCGTACCGAAGCATCCGCGCGTGACCTTTGCATCCCATTTTTCAAGCCTCTACTTGACGTGATGACGGTGACACTTGGCCTCGAACGATCTCCTTGGTGAAGAACCACGGTAGCAGTGAAAGCAATGCCCCCAGCAGCCCTTGTTGCATGGGCATACACGGGCTGTGAGTGCTCCTTCACGGATCAAGACGGACGCCAAAAAGGTCAAAAGGTTCCGCACTCGCTTCGCTTTGGCTTTCTGATTCAAGTAGCGTATGATGCAGTGCACTGCCTCGACCAGCTGCAGCTGTTCGCATTTGGGTCGACAATGACCGGAGAGGCAGAGGAAGCCAAGAAGCAGCAGTCCGATGCTGCTGCGCGCTTCTCGAACCTCCAGTCCAAGCAGAAGGATCCATCCGGCCGCACTTCTCGTTGTTGATCCACTGATCACGTCTGGCAGGAGCAGGCTTCTCGGGCGAAGTCCGCTGAAGGCCGACTGCAGACGGAGCTTGCTCAGGCCTGTTCTGCACCAAATCCTCATCAGAATTAGCATGGTCAAAACCACCAACACCAACACCAACCCTCTATTGCAAGTATGATGCAACGTCTTCTCAAGACCACTGGTTGTTGTCATCTACATCTTATGCACATACACATAGAACATCACAGAACGAAATCAACATGTCTGCGCATATACAGCTTTTACAAGATTCCTGAAGTATGTGCTTGAAGCGTGTTGCGGCTCTTTGCAGCTTCAGGAAGGCATGCATGGAAGCCTACAAAAAACACTACGTTGCGCTGCGAGTCAGCATGCCGTCCAAATCCAAGCATAGGTCGTCCAAGCTTTCTAGACGGTTGACCGAGCAGACACCCACAGACAATTGTATTTGTAGCATCAAAATATTCTCGTTTTGTAGCCATGATCGTCCGGCCTGGGCAGCCGTCCAAGATGTACTCATTGTCCATGGCAAGTGGCCAAGCCGGCCAAGGCCAAGGCTCCAGGAGAGGGCTCGGGCTCAATGGGGCCAAGGCCAAGGCCAAGCCCCAAACTCCGAGCCGAGCGAAACTGCCAAGGCGGGAATCGCCATTGGCGGCCGCAGCGCGCCGCGCGCGCGAGGCCATGGCCGGTGGCGGAGTTGGCGGAGTTGGCGGGGTCAGAGCCAGGTCCCCTGGCTTGGCCTCGACCCCAAAGTTGCGGAAGCCACCGGGAGCCGAGCCGCCGCCCCCTACTCCCTGCACACCCGAGAGCCCAAAGAGGCCCGAGAAGCAATTTGCAGGTCGCTCACTGATCCAACCCCATGCGAGCCCAGAGCGCGATTCGCGCAATGCGGACAAGCACCCATCTCGTAGACCCCCTGGCAGCTACTCGCCAGAAAGCCCTAGCCCAAGCCCAAGCCCAACCAAGCCCTTGAATGGACGAAGGAGGCCGTCCCAGGCCGTATCTGAGGACACAAGCGCGGACTGTGTGGACACTTCTGTCGGCTCTGCATTGGCCGACCTTTTCGCAGAGGACCCAAGCTTCTAACTCTAAGCGAAAGAATGTGAAGACAGCAGCAATGAAAATGGCAGGACACGGGCTCAAAGTCTACAGACAGGGCCGAGATACTGGAGGCTCAGCTTTCTTTCGTTTTTCATGCTCTTCAGCTCTGTGGTGCTGGCAAGATCCCGTGTAAAGGCGGCAGCGGTACTGCGCCGCGAGGCGCAAGATCTTGGACAAGCGCTGCGAGCCTGGGTTGGCGTGGAGGTGTGGGAGCATGTCACAAACACGCTGCTCACGCTGCTGCCATCTGCTGCCTGCTCGCATCTGCTCGCCCTTGCGTTCAGCCTTGCGTTCAGCCAACACGAGCTTGCCAGCAGGCCACGGACCCAGAACTTGCTTCAGAGGCGCCCGTGAGCCTTGCGCATCTCTCGAAACAGCTCAGTCCTTGCAAATCCTGCACTTGCCCTGATTTCCGCAGGAGCCGGCTTTACATACACAGCCGCTGGCATCTGAGTTGGAGGAGATTGAGATGGCTTTGGAACCGTGCAAGGCAGGTGGAGCTGTAGGCCGGTTTCGGTCAGCAACAGCACGCTGATCTGCGAAGGCACCGGCAGGCGCCGATGCAGGTGCTGGGGAGGAGAGCGATGGGACCAAGGAGGCACAACCCATGCTCTGGGCTTCGGCCTTGGTTAGGTCTTTCTTGCCCTGCAAGGTGGCCGAGCCCAAGCGCAAACCTCTGCTGGAACATCCGGAGCTGCTGCCGGAGCATCCTGACAATGCTGAGCATGCGGAGCACGCAGAGCTTGCTGAGACGTTGGAGCATCCAATAGATGAGGCAAGAGCCCTGCACTACTTCATTCTAAGAATTCGTTGACAGGCTCGCACGTGAATGCGGTCAGGCTTTTTCGGATGAACGGGAACGCCTTTTAATGCAGCCGCCGTCTTGGTTCGTTTGCAGCATGGTCATGCAGCCTGGCCTGGCTCTTCATCACAGGCGAGAGCGGCTGGACAATGACCTCGAGCGCATAGTAGGCCTGATCTCATGATGATCATGCACGATGCAAATCATCAGCAGATGCCTTGTAAACACAAGGGAGGCTCTTAGACGCTTTGCCAAGCATTTGCCAGGCGAGTGGCATCGAGTACTGGCCGAGAGACAGCAGGCCATAGAGGTTACGTTCTCTGTTGGGCTGTAAGTTGTATTCCTCCTAAACGTGTTGAGAGTGAATGTAGTTTGCTTGGTGTTTTGTCGTGGTTTTCTGCTTGTCATCTGCTGCAGTGTGGAGTGAGGGATTGGGGTGCGGCGGAATGGGATGGGGGGGTAGGGGTGGCGCGGGATAATGGCAAACATGTTCAACCTGTGTTTATTCCCCACCCTCGCTGTGGG